CATTTGAAGCCCTAGATCTACAGTTATAAAAAAAAACAAATACCACTAGCATTACAAACCTAGCTGCATAAATATATTTTTACAGCTAAAACTTTAAAGTAAAACATGTAATATTATAGATCTAGTGCATAGAGAATTTCACAAGGATTCCAAAAAGTCCTCATTTGCTATTTTACGAATTTCCTATGAATTACTATGATTTTCTAAACTTTCAGCCGATTTAAAACAAATAGGTCCTCGAGGTACTATTCACTTGAGTCAATGACAATGCAGTTAGGCCCTTGACCTTCGTCGAATTCTAGCACGGGGTCCCCTGACCGAAGTCCTGGGAGCAGAGGAGGCAACCGGCCCACGAATCCGGCCGGAGAGGCGGCAATCGATGGCGACAGTGGCGGGGGAAAGCAAGTCGGTCCCGTGCGACCCGATGGTGCCTCGGCTCGCCCGAGGAGGAGTGTGGAGGGTGGCCACGTGAGCGATGGCGTCCACGGCAGCCTCGCCGGCGGCAATGGGTCATGGGGTTGGACGGCTTGGCCAGCGAGGAGCGAGCGGCGGTGAGCACCGGGACTCGCGCACACTCATGGGGCCACTCAACTCGGCCGAGACAGCCGGTTTAGCTGGCCACAGCGACAGTGTCCACAGCGGCAGCCGCAGCACCGGTGCTGCACGGCGGCGCATTTAAGGAAGGCCGAGGATGGTCGCGAGGCCAAGGAGAAGTCTGGCGGAGCCGGTGACGAAGGATGATGGGGCTGCCAGCGCCGGAGGTGGAAGAACGACGGCGAGGTGCAGCTCGGCAGAGTAATGGCGACAGCGGCGGCTTCGCTCTCGGTGCTTCAGACGCGCGCGAGAGGGAGAAAGCGAATGAGGGCGAGAGGAAAGCAGACGGACACGGCCTCCATGCGGTTGGCGGCGGGCAGCAGTGGCGCGCCAGGTCGAAGCGGTCATGGCGCGTAAGTATACTGCTGGCCGGCAACGACACTGCGGCGGTCGAGTAATCTGTAGCAAACTGAAATTTCGATTCAAAGATTCAAAACCGAGCTCGGCAAATGATATTTTGATATTGTTCGATCTCCCAAACCGTGATGATCTAGGATCGGTGTAATTGACAAAGTTGGATATCTAAGTGAGGGCTACAACTTTTCCAATTGGAGCTTGAGCTCATTCGGCTTGGTTAGGGAGCTACAAGGCTGACAAGTCAAGTACACGAAACTGAAAATATGTTCTCAGACTTAGAAAATTTCCAAGTCTCCAATTAGACCTAAAAACTGACTTGTGGGCCCTTTTTGAGCATGTTCTGCACATTTTCATGAAATGGTCATAAAATAACTTTTGTTCCTTATAAAATTTTCTACAACTTTGCTTTAGGTTGCTCAGACATGCAAATACTCTAAGCTGTACTTTTTAAACAGTCAAACAAGAGAGCTCTAGGGTCAACACTAGTCAAACCATTCCTTGGAAACATAATTAGGCAACGTGGTCAACATGAACATTGTTCCTAATGACATTCTAAGTGTAGCTAAGTTGTTTAAGAGGATAATTGGCCACACCACATATGGGTCACACCAAAATCAAGCATCATATGAATTGAAACCAGGAAAACAAGTGAAATGTTACTTTTGTTTCAAAGCCATGTTTCATATGTTTCATGAGTTGGTTGCATAGTAATAACTAACCATGTTTCACTAAAGTATGTAACATGTTTCAACAGTGAGTTGCACAGTTGCACTTAAGTGTTGTACACTATTCATTTCACAAAACAACACACATGAATATAAACATATGTTGCAATGTTTCAAAAGCATGTTCCAAACAATCTAATCTCATGAATGAATGAACGATGCTCATGTTTATGAAATGCAAGTAGAGTTGTTTGAGCAAGGTACCAAGGTTTGGTTGACTTCATAGGTTTCCATCCACTTGATAAAGCAATTCATGCAAAGGTATGACTTATCATTTCATGTGACTTTTTGATTCCAAACTTCATGAAACTTTTCCAGTCATCACTATAGATAGAGGGTGATGTGAGACACATGAAACCAGTTTCATTAACATCGCTCAAATATATATATATATATTTTGAAAAGGGTTATCATGTAAACAAGGCGTTTTATCCAAATTCAAGTTGAGCTCGATTTCATACATTTGACTTTGACTTCTTCAACACCACTTGATCTGTCATGTTTGAGCTCAAACCCATTGCTTAACTGGTGACAAACACCTGGGGTGTTACACTCTGCTTTGCTAATGTGGCCAATCTGAATTAAAGATGTCACTACTTTACAGGTCATGCAGAAATGGTTGGCACTACTTAAAAAAAGGGCGTACCCAGTGTAGGAAGCTCCCGCTCTGTGCGGAGTCTGGGGAAGAGTGTCAGTGGCAAGCCTTACCCTCGCCTGTGCAATGCGAGGGGACCGCGACTCGAACCCGGGACCTTCTGGTCACAGGCGGTAAGACTCTACCGCTTGCACCAGGCCCTACTCAAAATAAGTTAAATGGCTTGGGAACTTGAACAATAGCATTTTGTCCAGCAACAAACACTTGACTCTTGACATAAAATGAACATAACACAAGCTCAAACAGCAATTGATTTTTCGAACAAAACTTTGAACAGAGTCCTCAGGAACTGTTTGGTTTCCACATGGATAGGATGTGGGCAACAGATCCACTAACAATGAAGAACTAGCCCTGCTTTGGGTTACCAAACATGATCTGGTGGCATGTAACAATTGCTAAGATGTACATGTACATAACCAAATCATGAATTACCTGATCCATGTCTTCACAGGTTAGAACACCAAATACACAAGGAACACCTGCATCCATTAAAAGCCAAAATAGTCTAAATGTCTGAATATTAACTGAATTAACCACCATAAAGAAGAAATAAGCAGACCACACTGCAAGGTTTCAGTGACTGTTGCAAAGTACTTTTATAGCACCAACTACACAGCTCTCTCATATAACCAAATCCTTCCAGTTCCATACTAGTTGCTCACATTAACTCTTGTTCTGTAAGGTGTACTTGCCTTGAGTCACTTAAAGGACGTACCCAGTGCAGAGAGCTCCCGCTCTGTGCAAATTTTAGCCTACCCCAACTTGGTTGGGACTCAACTGATTGATAACCAACCAAAAAGACATTGGCTAGCTAACCAACCAGAAAGCAAAGAGGAGGAACTCAACTGATTGATAACTCCAGAAACAGATGCACAACTTTATGATCATGCATTAACTAGACAAGCAATGAAAAAAGGAGCAGAAACCAGAGATGACAAAAGATCCATCTGTTACCTAAATTTTTTCAGAATACCTTCACAGAAAACACCTATGGCCTATACATGCTGAACATTCACGTGTTCTTGGGACAAGCCTGTGGCCCTCACCAAATACTAAGTCTTTTCCCAGGTCGCTCCAAACATCATGTACTCTGGTGTTTGCCCATGGGATTTTCCAGAGAAGTGCTGTGGCACAATCTGCCTCACGAACCTCTACACGTCATCAGTAGTTTGGCACGAAACAACCTATAATTATGAATGAACAAATGCATTCCAACAATTCAAATTAACAGTTTGTTCTACCAGGAAGTGGTCAGTGTAAAACAATGGGCTTTTAGTGCCAAGAAGAAACCTGAGTAGTGGGTACTATGTGAAGGATGCAAGCAGGATGCCCCCTGATTCCATCAAATATACATATATCGGCTTCTCAGTTTTTTGTAAACATACTCGAAGGTGTTTTCTAGAAGCTCCATCTGTAACAAAATTCTGACTCAAAGCCATTATAAATATTGAATCAACTGCTCTACCATCCGAAATCAAATGATGAGCATCATTCTGAAATATACCTTACTTGAGTGAAATATTAGGAAGAATATATAAGATCTATATTGGTGTTTTCGTGCTTATTAGGAAGAAAATACAGCATCGGGAGCTGAAAGTAAGAAAAGAGGACGACCGCGAAGGAATGTCCAAACTCCTGTTGTCACTTTGGAGAGCACCGAATCTTTGAATAAACGAGTGCGACATGCAGGGCGATTCAATGGTAGCCCTTAGAGGGAATAATTGTATAGCAGGAACCACATAGTGGATACACAAAGAGAGGCCACTTTCATTGTCCTGTAGCCAATTTTCCCATAATTCAAAGTATGTTGATTCATTGAATTTTTAGAGTAGAAAGAGTTCCACATTTTTGTTACAATGGTTTAATTCAACATGTCACAGAAATTTCTTCAAAAGCTTCTTGTAGTTTAGATGCATACAACAAAACTGAGAACAGATTATATTCATTGGAAGAACCTGTCCTATGTACATATATCACATACATTTCTCCATTTGAAACATTTTACGGCAACAAGTCCAGATGGAAACTTGTGCAGCAGCGGAACAACAGAAAAGATCAGGATATTTGTGAACTTTATTGACTCTTACAAATTATACAGACCTACAGTGTCAGCCGTTCCACAAGAATGTCTGTGGCAAAACGTCGAACAGCTGGGGTCCACCGACATCCACCCAAGAATAGGAAGCGACGAAACAAGCAAGCTTAATTACTCACAATGGCGTTGAAGAGGGTGGACTTGCCAACGTTGGGCAGCCCGACGATGCCCGCGCCGAGGCTCATGCTTATCCGTGCCGCGCGGCCGGACGAGAACCGCCGGGCGCGGCTGGCTCGACTCCAACGCCGGGTGCTGGAGTAGCGCTGACGAGCCGCATGGGGGCGGAGTGCTGGAGTAGTGCTCCCCGCCGTCTCTCCCTCCGCTCTGGTAGGATCCGCGGGTCATCGATTGGACCTCACTGCCGCAGCGGCCCCACCCGTCACCTCCATCCCTCTCCTCCGGCCCTCCCCTCCGCTCTGGCCAGGCTTCCGAGCCGTCCGGGTGACCGCGCTCCCCACCACACGACTTAGCCCGCGTCCGCACGCCCCGCGCGTGACCGAGCAAACCGCGCCGCGCCTATCCGGTCTCTGCTCCACCGAGTCCACCATCGTCCACTCGTCCCGCTCAAACCGAGTCACGGCACCCGCCATTGACGGGCCGCACGAGCTCCTCTGGACCGATAGGCGAAAACCATCTGACCGTTGGTGAGGAGCGGCACATTGGAGGCGGGGATGAAGCCAGGATGCATGTCCCCGCCACGGCCGTAGCTCATCTCCGCCCTGAGCATGGATTCGGCGACGTACTGCGGGTCGTCGTCGTGCCCCGCGTCGCCGTCCTGAAGGACGAACTCGCCCTCCAGGTCGTCGACGTCGTCCTCCTCGTCGCCCGCCACACGCGAGCAGCCCTCGCGGCGCTCGTACTCGTAGCAGGCGCGGCAGTTGGTGGTGGGCACCGGCATGCCGAGCCCGCCCTCCAGCTTCGCCACCAGGGACCGCCGCTTCCGTGGATGTGCGCACCTCGCCACCCGCACCTCTCGGGGCAGCGGGGACGACCGCCACGACCGGGAGGGCAGTCGCCGCAGCCTCCACGTGCTCGGTTGGGGAGCTGAGGGCTAGTGAGAAGGGGTCGGGCCCGGATCTCGACGGAGACGATACAGGAGCGGCGCAGCGCGTCAAGGTCTTCCCGTGGATGGATCAACGGCGGCGGCATAGAGACAAAAATATTCATCTTTTTTTAAAGCAAATATTTATCTAACTATAGTACTTAAATCATACCTCTCAATTATTCTACTCAAAACATTACTTTTACAATTATAGATTTACTGTTTTAACCTTGATGAAAAAAATTAACTACAAAAAAAAAATTACTACTCTTTTATTTGAACTCCTAATCCTCAGACGTTGGGAGGGGTTACGACGTATATGGGCCCACCAACCATAGATACATCTAATGCCTCCCGGCACCTCTCAACACCTTCCCTTATATAGACCCACCAATAACGCTTCTGGATGCCTCCCAACCATAGTAAAAAAGTTCATATATATATATACATATATATATATACATATATATATATATATATATATATATATATATATATATATATATATATATATATATATATATATATATATATATATATATATATATATATATATATACACACGCGCCGTCGCCGCCGAGGATTTGCTCGATGCTCGTGGTCGTGCCGATGATGTTTCGTCCATGACGCGGGGCCGTGAGGCTGATAGACCGCACTAGCTCGGAGCTACTAGATCTGCGCTCCTAGATTTGCTGACCGCAATTACATTTATATAATATATATATTGTACCTCTATTCATTTATTTCACTGAGAAAGTGACATGAACGGAATGGCACCACTTTTTTTTCACCTGCAGAGTGATGGTGAAATATACAGTTGTCAATACCTACTCTTTTCAGTCACGACGCGGCCGTGAGGCCTATAGAGACTTTTTTTATTACGGAGTAGGAGTACGTACGTACGTACGTAAGAGTAGCAACGATTCGTTACCTACAGAGTGTTGAGAGTTGCACTTTGGCCTAGCTGCACGATGAGTCCAGAGCAGATGAACGGTTCCAAAGTTCGTTTCCTTTCTGTTAATTACCCGTCAACCCGACCCAATCCGGCTTATATATAACGTTTACTTACGAGGTGTCTGTCTAGTCTAGTGGTAATGAACCAAGAATTACGCGACTGCTCACTTAGCTTGAAGGCAACTTAACTGGTGAATAATGCTCAAATAATTGACCCTGTTGCTTGACCAATTGTTCCAGTGGCACAAGTTGGTGAATGCCATACCACGGCATGGCACATCATATCTGCGGCGAGACTTGACTGCCCGCTTTCTGTGTCGAGTGGTGTACTGGTGTGTAATTAAGCGAGTTGCATTTTCCGGTCGTTAGATAAAAACGTACGCTCATCGTCGGAGGATGCATACAAGTTCAGGGAGAGAGAGAGTAACGCCCAAAAATAACTTTTGTTAAATTAAAATCAACTATAAGGTCCAGTTACATGCTTGTGCATACATGCTGCTGCATTGGAATTTTTGTGATGAGTGGTTTTGTCCAAAATTCAAAATAATTTCAAATGCTTTTGAAATAATTTGAAAATGCATTGAAATAAAAGAAAAAGAAAAAGGAAAAAAAAAACTCTTCTTCCTTGGTATTTGGCCCGTCGGCCTTTTCTCCTTCCCTTGGCCTGGCCGCTCCCACTCCCCCAAGTCCGAGGCCCAACTCCTCCAGTTCCCTCGCCTCTCTCCCCCACGGCCCGCTCCCCTCCTCCCTTTGGGCACGTAGGCCCAGCCCACCTTCTAGCCCAGCAGTGCGCGGACACCGCCCTCTCCTCTCTCTCCTATCACTGATGACCCAGGCCCACCTGTCAGTCATTTCTTCCACCTCGCCACCGTCTTCCTCCTTGCGTACCCGATGCAGACACCGCCACCGGGAGTCCATCTCCGCCCCAACTTCTGGGTTCTTGGCGTGCGCGTCATGTCCCAGCCCTATAAAAGAAAACCCGAGCACCCGCCGCGTCCATCTAGCCTCATGCGTGGCCGGCCCGTGCCCTAGCTACCGAGGCCGAGCTCGAAACCCTAAAGTTGCCACCGCCGCTTTCAATCCGCTTCGCCGCCGCTTCACCCACGACTAGATAAAAGGTTCTTGTTTGGTTTTGGTAATTGAGTAACAACCCTAGGTGGACTAATTGTGTTTATGTGAGATACACAAGTGATTAGTCCACAGGTACAAGTGTGTGAGCAACATATGCCGTGGAGGTGGAAATAGCTCGAAAATGTTGCAAAGCTCACACATGTGATGATGAAGGAGCTCATTGCACATGAGACATGACATTGAGTCACGTGACTAAGGTGGAGAAGATCAAGATAAAACTTGGCTTGATGGACCTGTTGCAAGCGTGAAGGGCAAGTTGGAGGCTTTTGTGGTAGAACCGCATAATCTAATGCCTCCCAGGAGTGCTTGTCTTCCATTAGACACTAAGCACCCAAGAGAGAACACCAAATTACGCAGTTCCATCGGGCGCACCCCGAGGGAGAACCCGAAAATCTATATTTTTCCATCAGGATCACAAATGAGAGAATAAAGCTTACATCATTCTTAACCATTTCTTACATCACTTTTAATACAACATCAGAGTATAATATTTATTGTTATAACAGCGGAATAAAATCATATTATCAGAGTTATGAGCAATTTAATTTAACAGCGGAATATAAACATGTGATCAGAATTACAGCGAAAGTAATTATCTAATCATGACATGATGAAGCATTGATATGTAAACTATGACAACAGATTATAAAACTTTCATTTATAAAAACATTTAGTGAGAGTTACAAATAAAACTACGATCGCAGCGTAAAGAAAATTCTCTCTGAGTCCACTAGGAGGAATCCACACACAAGGTTAGTTCTAGCATCCACCTGTCATCTGCAACAGGGAGAAATAAAACCCTGAGTACTCAATTGTACTCAGCAAGACTTACCCAATAGGAGGAAAGAAAAGACTCCAAGAATATACAAGGCTATCTGGCTTGTGGGTTTCTTGCATCTGCAGAAAGCATTACTAAATGTGCGTCCTTATATTCGATTTTTTTGTTAGCAGTGCATTAGTTCATTAACTAACCATTCCATGTAAGCACCTATGCTACTTTCAAGCAGGTGGTAAGCAATCGGATTTCCTTTCTCCATCTTTCATCTTTCAATTCTTACTACGGTTACTACGGTGCTACACCGTCGACAAGCCGTACCGGATTTCTCGACGATTCGTGAATCAATGCCCCCAGCTGGGTACCCCGAAAACACACGCCCCGCTTGTACCCAAGGCACAAGCAGGATCAACCCACTACCCTCCTATCACGGGGTCTAGGTCCCCGTTCAAACTGGGACTCCAAGCCCATGCCCCTACGTCCCAGACTCAGTGCGGTGCAAGGACCTCCTAACCCAAAAACCACCAAGACATTCGGTCCAAAAAGAGCCGAAACCCATAACAAGAGAGTAACAAGTCTTCTAAGTTCCTATACCCAAGTATGTGCTCGGTATAATAAGTCTGTGACTTGCCTAGAGCCTTATGCAACGGCCAGTCCTTAACCGACATAGACAGGGAAAGCAGTGTAACCACGCTATGCCCCACGGCTATGGCGACGTAACCTCTTGCACCCACCAATACCCAAACCATATCACTATCCGGTCACCATTTTCCTTTCCACCATTTATATTTTCCAAGTGATAATAATACAGTGATATATTTTCTATCTCTCGCGAGTGACAGGCAATCACTCGATTTCTATCGGAGTCCTGTAGCATAGCAATCTACATGATCCTATCATACTAATAAGACTCATAGGATAAATATATATATATGCAAGTGGGTTTCATTCAACTCCTTAAAACTTAATGCACAAATATAATTTAAAGTGCAGATAAATAGGGATTATGCACCGGGGCTTGCCTGGGTAAAATTTAATCAGAAGTCAGCTTTCCATCATGGCGACACGATCATCGAGACACCCTCTTTTCTGATACTCCAGATGACTCCGTGATCCATCGACGTCCCTATTATGATATGCAATGCGACGCAATGTAAAGACATAATTAATCTACTGCAACCGTGACTCGTAAAATACGATTTACGCCTTTCAAGTTAACGAGCTAGTTCTAACGACTAACATACTAAGCTACGTATCCAAGTTGGCGAATAAGGCGTTATTTCCCAACAAAGGTTTAGTTAAACAAACCCAAGTTGTTTCTTTATTCCATTCTGTCGATTTAATCATTATTCAAAATAGGGCATCATCATCTATCTAGCAAAATAATTATTCTGGAACTACAAAAATCACAGTGAGTACCTAATATTGCTAGGAGCCTACTATAAAAATTTTAGATCCAACTCTATCACCAATTTATCACAACAATTCCTACAAGTTTATATTTTTACAATATTAAGTACCTTAAATTAATTTTATATCTTACAAAAATATTATCAAACTATGTGAACAAAATATACTAACAGGTAGATCATGATTTTATGAGACTAACAAAATTGGTTTCATAATTTTTGGATTTGTTTACCATTTTATATTGATTTTACAAGTTAACTAAAAACCTATATTAGAAAAGCATTTAGATAACGTAAAGGGCCGGAGGCAACCCATTTCGGCCCAGCAGACGCGACGCGGCGGTGGCTCAGCAACGCGGTGCGGCCCACCGACCAGGCGTGGCCCAGCGGCGCATGGTTGGCCCAAACAGGGCGCGCAGCGCGCATGGCCCACAGAGGAGGCCGGCGACCTAAACGGACAGCGAGCGTGGCCCAACTAGCCAGCCTAACTGGCAAGCCCAGGGTGCGCTGGTGGTTTTCCAAAAACGACCCTGCTTTTACCTCTATTCAACTCGAGATACACAGGCACTATTTAAATGAGTCACGTA